CTAATATATAATATATTATATATATATATATATATATATTTATATAAGACAATTGTTTATGTGGGTTAGTGATAAGCAAATTTGTTTCCCTGTAAACAGAGTTTTATTTCTTTTAGAACAATCATTTACAAGTCTATTAACATTATTAACAAAGACTATTTGACCTAAACAAATTGTAAACTTACTGTAAACAGATAAGACAATTAAAGCTGACTAACCGCTTCTCTGTTTACCCTTACTTTAATAACTAATTCAATATTTTCAACAATCGTCCCACTCATTCCTCTGCGGTCCTTAGTTTCAACTACGCGTAAACCACTCTTAACCACGCCACGCGCCAAGGGTGGGAATCACGTCATGTTTAGAATAAAGAAAATATATTTTCTTTACATATATACAGAGAGAGAGAGAGAAAGTATCTAATATATTATATATTATAGGAAGTATAGTGTTGATTACGGGTTAAATGTGTTGTCTAAAATCGTTTAGCATTATTAACGGGAAAAACAACAGCACATTTTGTCATTTGTTTATAATGTTAAGTTCATATTATGAAAACCAGCGACGTTATGAGCGAGATTTCAGATTTGTACGAATGCAATAAAGTAACTTGGTGAACGAGTTTCATACCTCAGTTTTTGAATAGTAGCAAAATTAAATTTGAGTTAAATTTGTTGTCTAAAATCATTCAGCATTATTAACGGGAAAAACAGTAACGTCACACTTTCCAGCTTGTTTATAATATAAAGCAAATTTGGAGTATTTTGAATACCCCCTCTCCCCCCTGTAACACAGCTGTAACGCCCGCTTGAACCCTGCTCTAATAATTACGTAAAGCTTGAGACAAGGCCCCCCACCCCAAATTCCAATAAGTAAACTTAATTATATAGCAGAAACGTAAAATAATCCTAAATGTATTTGTGTGGTACATTAACATTTACTATAATTGCCGTGGGGATTAGTTGGAGGTGCGGACTGCGCAGAGCAAGATTAGGAATAATTTTTTTAATGAAAGAAGGATGCGTCAGCGAAAAATTTCTGACAAGTCGTGCACATACTGTCGTGGATGACCCATAGTCTCAGAGTCTACTGCACCAACCAATTGGATTCTATAATATACTGTAGATCAGGAGTGAATATTTTCTTTGTAATCTAAAAGATTCAATCAATGTATTAATAATGAAAAAAAATTCATTTATTGTAACAATTTACAGAATATAACTTTTTAATTCGTTATAATTTAAATTTAATTTGTTAATATGGTAATTTTTTAGTATACGACTAAATATAATGAATTATTTCAGCAAATCTTGAAAGATTTTAAAAATAAATATGAGCATCGCGTAACACGAAACTGTGACCCCCCCTGTCCCTATGTAACGCAGCCTAACGCTGCGTCAAACCCCTTGACCCCCTCTTCGGCGTTATGTAAAGACCCCTAATTTGCACTTTCAATGATTACGAAGTAGATCAGTATTTCACAATTAAAATTGCATACTCAGTCCATAGAAACTGTCAGAAGCAGAAGGGTCGAATTATTGAATTTTTCCCTAATGATATCGATAGGGATAGCGTGTACAAATTGAAATGACACAATAGCTGCATTTTCTCTTCTTGGAAATCACAACCGATTCTCTGAACACACTTATTATGTGGCACATTATCTTGTCGCACTCAATTTTTTATATAAGCAAATGCGAAACAAATGGAATATGTTATGATAAAATTTAATGCGAGTATTATTCATGGTATTTTATGGTGACAAGTCATTGTCACAAAAAAGGTACATTTTAGCGACCCATTTCCTGTCAAAAAAAATCGGGTTAGAGTCTGAAAATAAGGGATTGTCCTGGATAATACGGGACGTCTAAGTCACGTTGTACTGCTGACGAAGGTGTACGTTTTAGACACTTGAAATTCAATTTTGGGTTGAAAGCACCCCTGAGGTCGCTATTTAGTTGAAGTTACTCCCCAGTTGGCGATGAGTAGATTCATTAAGTTATATTCTCAGGACGGCGGTTGTTAAGCAATAAACTGCGTGTCGACAACTTAAATTTGCTTTCGAAGCAGGTCGGTGGCAGTGAAGACCATCGCAGCACCATCAAGCGGTTACGTGTTGAACTACAAAAGACAAGTCCGATATCTAGTGGCAGTACTGAAAAGCTTGCTGCAACTCGTCGCAGACTTCGTCGGCTGCGCGCAGCTTTGCGGCGTCTCGAGCAACTATCTGCATCAATGGAAAGACACTACCAGGTGAGAAATTTGAAATTATTTATTTCTTGTTTCTTTCAACAAACCAAAGAAATGTTCTGTCCAATCAAAAACCAAAAAATTGATTAATTCATTAATGAATTAATTTAATAACGAGGAAAATAAGTTTTTTATTATCTCTCAGAAATTTTTATTGGAAAATATCAGAAATTTTGAATTCATTGAATTAAAAAAATTTAAAAAATGAAGGATTCTTTTTAACTATTAATTTTAATTTTCTACCTTTATGAAGAATAGAAAAATATTTTCATGAGAATTTAAAGTTATTTTTGTTAATCTTCATTGCTTTGTATTGCAATTTCTGTTCAAATTTACTGGTGTCTTCATTACAGATGACTTGTATAATTATTCAAAAATACTTGGATTGTAGATTATATGTGGAGGTTTATGTTTTTTTACCTAATTTATAAATCTTTGCAGAAAATAGTACATATACACCAAAACTTGCAAAATAATTGAAGATTTTGATGAATTTTACATTTTGATTATTTAAAATTTACTTTTGATTCTACAATATTATTTGCAATTGTATCCAAACTTTTGTAATATGCAAGTATAGAGTCCACTGACTTCAGTTCCCTGAAAAATAGCAAATTCAAATGGAGCTCCTTTTCACAACATGCCATTTCTTAAAATTAATGAAATTGAATTAAATGATGTTCATTAAAAACATGAAGTGAAATGTGTGAAAAAATCTTCCATTATCCAAAAACTATAAAAAATTGTGCATTGTGTTCCTAGTGTGTAACGGAAGAATGTTGCAAAAGGATTAAGTCTTTTTTTTATGTCAATCAGTAAAAAACTGAGAAAAAGTTCAATTTGGATATATCCCTGAAAGGTGCCTAATTAAAACACAATCCCTCATAGAAATACCTAAAAATATGCCCAAAATACTAAATCTGGAGACAATAGCTAAAAACGTTGAAAATTTATGAAACTATCCGCCAAAAATGTGGTGAAATTGGAGTCCTTCTTCCACACAAAAAGCATACATATAGACTTACTATTGCCAGTAAAAAAAATATACTACAAGTACCAATAAAAAAATACACTTTAGTGATGAGGTGTGGGAGTCCCAGAACAGTAAAAATAAAATGAGGACCAGAGAATATAAAATTTCATGAATAGGGAGCAGATTTTTATGATTTTGCATAGTTCTTTCTGTTGTTATAGGGCATTACTAAGAGAAATTTCTTGACATTTGGTGAATATAGGATGTATATAGAATGTTATGTTAGTGAATATTTGTGCACATTTGGCTGATTTTTCCTGTTGGTGCATATTCATTCCTATAGGAGCATATTTTGCATATTTCTTTAAAATAGAGACTTATCTCTGAAACGATTCATGTTTTCATAGAATCTATTTCTTTTTGGGCTATTAATTAGAAAGAGCTTGTCACAATTTGGTATTTTCTTCTTTTCTATACATGATAAAGTATTTGTGCAAATGTAGGATATTTCTTGATATCATATTTTGTTAAGCCAGGCAGAAAAAATGAAAGAAGATATACAATGTATTTCACTAAGGTGCATATTTACTTCAATTATTTCTTTCAAGAAGTAAGGTAGATTATAATATGTTAAAAAATTTATCTTTTCATTCCAGGGCATGTTTCACATGAATTTTATCAAGAAATATAAGAAATATTGTTAATTTTAATTGCAAATTAAAGTGCATATTTCAGAAATTTTAGGTCATCAAACCATACATTTTTTAAATGCATATTTCAAGATTTTTAGGGCATAAAAATCCTCTGCTTTTCATCAAATTTTTGAGGAAGCTAGATTTAACTCAAGCATGAGGGAATGACTGAAACAAAACATTCATCTAAGATGATGGTTGTATTATGAGTTGTTACAATGGGGAAGGGAGAATTAAAAATTCTGAAATATATTTAGAAATAGACTGTTATTTAAATTTAAAAAAATTAAAAATACTTCGTTGTTTGTAATGCCCAGTGACTTAAAGAATTGACCCATTTTCCCTTGCCTAAATTACACTGAAATTGTGAGGAATTTTCCAGTTGGCACCCCACAGGTTTCCATTGGTGCCAGTAGATTTTGTTTCTCAAGAAAGCAAAAACAAAAGTCTCTGTAATATGTATTTATTAACAGTAATTTCCAGGTAAGTGAATAAGGGATTTGATTAAGACAGGAGTTATCAAAGAAATTAATTTGGCAGGCATTGTGCTAGGGTTCTTTTTCATGCTATAAGTTTTTGCTACTGTGTATTTTCCAATCTTTGAAAATCTATGCACCTCTCCCATGATTCAATATGCTCTTTGGGGGGTTAAAAGGCCAGTTAGTTAACCACTTACCTCCTGAGGTGTTCAAAACTAACAATATATTGAAGTCATAGGCTTCCACGGCCGGAGTCATGTGAATGATCTTGTCTGTCTGGGTGATGCCATGTCGAAGGCTGTGTTGCCAAAAAAGCTGTGTTCTGTAGAGGCACGGCATGGCAGTTTTGTGCAGTTATCATTAGACCTACCTTTCTGAAATGACACATACTGTTGAAAACTGGACCAAATTATAAAAGTTTTGGCTTAGTTTTCTTGAAAATTTGTTTTTAAAATAGTTTCATATTCTTAATCAGTGATCTTTGGAGCCATTGCTTACAAATTCTCTAGCAAATCAAACCAAATCCTCATAATGTGGCCAGGTTTTATGTCGTTGGGACCAATGTGCATCACTTCAAAAAGATATTGTGTAGGTGAAGCAAAGACAATGCAAAATGCAGGTAAAATTCCCCCATTGCTCACAGACTTTATGAGAACTTTGCATTACAGAGTGTGCTAATCCTTCCACTGATGCTGACTGGCTTAATGAGAATTTTGCATTCCAGAGCATGCTGCAGAAACTGGGACAGTGGCTGATGGAAGTTGCTTGTCTCCTGCAGGCACCACATGCACTGCGTTCTCTGACCTTTCCGGAAGTACCGAGTCATATTGGCAATTGGTTCCTGCAGATGTGTTCCACAGCTGAGTGGTCTGTGGCTCACCTACACAACTGGATGCAGCAGCAAACTACACATCTTAACATAAATGAAAGCAAAGCAGATGCTGAGGATTTTAGTCAGATTGTGAGTTTTTTTCGACTGATAGGTACTCATCACTAATTACTACTAATACCAATTATACAGCATTATTTTTTAAGTAATTATATAATTCTAACATAAATAAATATTTAAATCAATTTTACCAAATAAAGAAAAGTAAAAAACAAAAACGCTTGGCCTTTTTGGGGTGGCCTCCATAGCGGCCCCCTGGATCCATCACTGCCTCAAAAAGGCTCATCAAAGGTTGATAATAAGCTATATTGAATAAACCAGATAAAGTGACGAATTTTTTTTTATATGCATTTAATTTTCTTTAAATTTGTTATCAAAATATGAACATTAACTTGTTTTTCCATTATTATACTTTTACATCATTTACAGTTATTATTATTATTGTGTATAACACATATCCTTTTCCAATTCTTTATAAAGTAATGGACTTTTTTTAATAAAAATTTCAGCTTTTATCTGAATTTCTGTTCAGGAATACTTTCAAGTTTATCGTCCTGGGTTTAAGTTACATTGAGCAGAGTACTTGATGAACGAACATTTTTAAACCCTTTGGTGAAATATGTATTTTAAGAACCATAAACACTGTTCCTTGACATAGTAAAGTTATGAACGCATCCTTAATTACCTTTAAATATCTGTCAGAAGAGTGAAAAAGGCATAATCTTAAAATAGCAATTAGAGTATTATTGGTTACACATTAAATATTCTTACTTTTGATAGAAGTAAATGTAAAGAACAATAAAATTAAAAAAATAAACAACAACAACAATTTCCATATTTACTAGGATTTTGAAAAGTTTACCTTATGTACATTCCAGCAAATTTAGTGGCTTACTTGTAACACATCTGTACTTGTTGTTGTTGTTGTTGTTGTTGTTGTTGTTGTGTTGTCAAGATAGATAGTTCAAAATCTTTGGAGAAACAATATTCATTCATGAAAATTACTTTGACAAAATTGCTGAAGAAACAAAGAACCATCAGAATATATGTACACTGTATCTTTATTCATTTTTCGATTTTCAATAAGCTCTACACATGCGCTCACACACACATTATTTATACCTGTCGCATCGGCCCAAGTACAAGTAACGGCTTACAAGTAATGTCCTGACCATGGGAGCACATATGGTTGGCACAAAGACATCTCCATGCTGTATTCTGGTCTTCTCAATCTGAGAAGTGAATTTTCTCATCATTTCACAGCAACATATACAGGGACATTGCAAGGAAAACACACACTATAATCCTGCCTGACCAGGAATATGAAAGAACTTATAGATAATTACTTTCACTATTTTAATTAGTAGTACACAAAACAATTGAAAATGATACAGTTTTTTATTAATTTTCATGTATAGGTTGATATTTTAATAAAAAAATATTACAAAACAAAATGTTAAATTTGTAATGTAGTAAAATTTTCTATTGGTAACCTTAAGTAATTTGAAAGCAATTAACTTTAAACTAATGATTCAAATTAAGCCCCTTCCCACCTTCATTTGTTTTCATAATTGTTGGGAGAAGCCTTTTCCTCTCACTAAAAGCAAATGTATTTTTTGAACAGTTAATAAGCTCTTTCTCCGATATCATGTATTGAACTATTTTTCCCTTCTGTGTTTCAGACCAAGAAAATAGACATTCATTCTGGTCTACTTCATGAACATGAAACGCACAAATCTGGTTCTGATGATACTTCTTCGATGAAATTGAACCCCTCAGATGAACAAACATCACAGCAACAGCTCTCAAAGAGTCTTATTTTGGCTACTTTACATGAGTCATCTACTTTAAAAACTCAAAGTCCTTCTGAGCAAGAACTGACCGTCATTAACATAAAAGTAACAGAATCCAGCCGAAATGACTCTCAGAATAAAATCAACATTCCTCGGAAAATTGAAGTTGGAAGTCATTCTAATGAAAGTGATAAAAAAACTGCATCTGAGTTTTCTTTCAAGACTTTTCCAACTGTAAAGGAGCGCCAGAAATCCCCTGGAATGAAAAAATCTCATTGGTCAGCAGGAAGTGCAATAGCAAGCTCAGAAGAATTGAGCCTGTCTGTTGGAAGTTTAGACTCTGTATTCAGTGTTCCTGAATCAAGTGATACAGCCAACATTCAAGCTTCTAGTCTTAGTGATGACAATAGAGCATCAGGAAAAATGGGCGCAGTATTGATGGGTCAGAAAGATGCTGAAGACAAGTATGTTTTATTATAAAATAATTTTATTTTAAAGTATTAGTTTCATAATAAATTTTATTATACAATAATTTCATTTTAAATCATTAGTTTGATTATAAATTTATGGTAATGGAAACAATGTATGTAACACATACACATAATGACTCATTGCAATTCTCATATGTTGAGCAACTATTGCTTCAGTTGTTGCTCAAGATACAATTTACCCTACTTCATTTGCAAAGAAAGTCTTTCTGCATTTGTATTAGATTGATGAATTAAATATTGCCACAAGACTTCTCCATACATCACAGACATTTTTTAGTGCTTTTGACAAATGAAATGAAGTTAAACTAAACTAAAAATGAAATGAAATTCAGTCTAATAATATTTTTTTTTAATGTTCCAGGTTAATTGCCATCTTAGATGGTTTGAAAGAAAAATTATTGAATGTTGATCCAGTTAGTCCACCTGACTGCAAGAGTTAGGTTCCACTGAAGTTATACCACAGATAAATACTATTTCTGTGAATTAGAATCCATCACAAGAAGTCAGATATTTTATTCTAAACGTATTTTAAATGATAATGTCATGGTATGATATTACTTGGTATGGTACTAGGCCAAAAGGATTCAGAGCAATCAGGTTCTGAGAGTCGCACAGTTTTCCTGGCTGCATGATCCAGGTTGTATTCTTCTGGGTACTAATACACTAAATTTTGTCATACTATATAATACAAATGTAATTTGTTTCGAAAAATGATGTAACTATGTATGCCTCTTACACAGGGCTTGGCATTGGTATAGAAAGTTCATTTTCAACACATCTCAAATAATAGAAATGGTCACATTTGTCCACTATGTGTTTGTATTTTGTACAGTTGCCCTGAGCTGTGATCAGTGGCCGCTCATGTGCAGTTCTTGTGCTACCAGAGACTGCTTGTGCCTTTAAGGTCATTGGTTTATTAAATAATAACAATCAGCAATGTACAGCAGCAAAAGCTGCTTACCTATTGGGTGATACATTATAGTTTCTAATTAAACAATTCTCTACTTTCTTTGTGATTGTACTTCAATCCTCTTTGGAGCATGAAAAATATCTTAGTCTTGTCAGAGACTTTTTTCTTCACTATTACTAATCCATTATTACATATATAGATGCTTCTGTAATACTGAATGTATGTACTTGGCGTGACAGTCCGTGAACAAGCTCAGGCCTACCGGCGACGTCCCTAGCAGCCATGGGTTAAGTGGGTACGTGTGGTTAACACATGATCATCCCCACACCATATTCTGATTTTCTCAACCTAAGAAGTGAATTTTTTCATCATCACACATCAACATATATTGGGACATTGCAAGGAAAATACACTCTATATTCTTGCCTTACCAGGAATCGAACCCAGGACCATGAAGTGGAAAGTGAGCTCACTGACCAAGAGCTAGCCATGATTGGTCGCCTCTATAATACTACCTCTAACAATACTCCAGATAATTTATTTAACATGAAATATGAAATTAACAGTATCTCTAATTTTAACTGAGATCTTGAGAATGAGACATTTTAAAGTCTTCTAACTGGTGTGTTTCTCTCAAATAGTACCTTGTTACCAGAATTACATGTCTTGATGTGATGAGGTCGACCCACTCACATCTGCCCACAAAACATGGCAGTATGATGAGTGAAAAGCCTTTTGGTGCCATTGACAGAGATATTTGATTTGACTCCAGTCTCATTGTTATTATTCAGTGATTCTCTGATCTTGAAGGCATGAGTCACCACTTTCCATCACCAAACTGATACCATTTCTATTGAGACAGGACTCTGGTTATTTGATTCATTTTTAAGAAAGGTATATTAGAAGGAAAGGCTGTTTTCTTATTGCTTATTCTCAGAGCCACTTATTGTAATAAAATATTTCATTTAAGAAGTGCAATATTTTTAAATAATGAAATGCTTTTTTCTGATAAAAATCTTGTCCTTAAGGAAATATTTCCATAATTAAAATTATTTATATTAACTTACAAAATAATGTAAAAGGAAAAAATAATAAATTTCAATAAGAAGAAGTCTGTTAAACATTTTTTAGGCTGATAAAGGCATTTTGTGACAATCAACGTTTTTTGATTGAGTGTTGCTAGTCTCAGCTTTGTTGTGATTGCTCTACATAGGTATTTGTTATAGTTTATAAGGTTATCAGTTCTGTTATATTTTTTAATATTTTACATTTTATATTTATATTTATACGGGTTATAGCAGTTAAAAATAAGCTCAAATATATCAATTTTCAGTATTACTTTATTTAAAGCCTTAACTGGATATGCTTAAGGTTGCAATTTGACAGACACATGCTCTTTACTATTGTTTTTACCACTGACTCAAAAATAAGTAGAAAAAATATTTCTTCTCCTTGTTAAATATAAGATTAAGAGTTTAATAACAGATATGTAAAACACACAAATTATAATTTTGCTCTAACTAATTGTATTTTATTGTAAGTGAAAAATATGTAGAAATAGAAAGATTAACATTTTTACTGTGCCTAAATATAAAAAAATCTTGCAAATGCTCTTGGCTGTCGAGATGACATGTCAAAAGCTGTGATGTCATCATTTCGTCCATCTTGTCATGGTCTTCCTCAGGTCTGGTTGGCAGACCAGCTCTGAGAAAGCCAACCCATTCAGCCAAATAGTAGACCAGCTCTGGAAAAAAAACACAATGAGATGGTCAAAATCTCGGCATCACATCTTTCAATGTGGCAACACTCGGACAGCCAAGAGCATTCACAAGACTCTAGCACTCTAGCAAGAAGCATGCGACTTCCTTGAAAAATCTTTGTGTAAAGAAAAATACTAAGAAACATTGAATTTTACTTTGAGTTAAATGGCGAATAAGTTTTTCTCATAAAAGAAAGAAGAGGAAAGAAGAAAGCGTGAAGAAAGTTTCCTCTTGTAAAAGAAGAAAGAAGAAAAAGTGAAGAAAGAAGTTCCTCTCATAAAATCAAATATTTCCATTAACTAAGAAATGATATAAATTAGAGGAGATGCTGCTTGTTTTATTACTTTAAAAGATGTGAAGAAAATATTATATTCTTAAATAATGTTCTTTTAGAATGATACTATTAAGATGAATGTTGAATGTGTTACGTAACATCCTAATTAACCTATTGGTGTTCTTAATACAGAACTGTTAACATTGAGCTTTACTGCAATATGAAAATTGTACTTCATATCTTTATTAATGGATGTATCTGAACAGTTATCTTGCATCATGTCATGTGCTATTCAGAGTCTTCAGAGAAATAAAGAACAGTCCTTTTCATATTTAATATTCAAAATAAGAAAACTTGTATTTCAAATATTAATGTTGACCATTATGTAACAGTGAACTCTTGATTTTTTTCAACTGTGATTGTGGCTTGTATCAATACAAATATTTGATAATACAACAAGATGATTTTATCTTGTAATTTTTTAACTTTATTACGTTCTGTATCAGATAGAAATTAAAACAAACAATTTTGAATACAAGTTTATAAATCATATAAGAGGCCTTTATTCAAGAGGGAACAGAAAGTACAAATTTTCACATTATGCTCTTTGTAACAAAGTTAATAAAAATGAATTTTATGTAAGAGAATGGAATAAATCATGGTAACATTTTTGTAATGGGAATTGAAAACTGGAGTTTTGGACAAAGGTAATACAGATCATACAATATTGAAATGTTTTCACTTCCTCTTATTAATCACAACTACTTTTTAATTTCTCAGAACGTATTAATAATAAATATATGACAACCAACAGAGATGTTAATAGTGCAAAAAATGCCACAATGTACTAAATATTAAACTACATTTAATAAAATGTTTCAAAATATCCTTTTTTAATACATGATTTGTATATAGTTACTTAACACAAGAGCCAGTTATTATAACTTTCTTTTTCCCAAAAAAAGAAAAACCTTTCTTGATAATTTAAAATTAATTAGCATCGATGATCTAATTTTATGCACTGAAAAAAATTGTTTAATGGTGAAATTTGTGTGCCCAATCTTGTGTTTGTGTGTATATTTGGATGTATTCGAATTACAGCTACGTCTTTGATAAGCAAAATACTTTGCCATTATTCAAATCTGGAACAAATTTTTATCTACACAACAACATAAATTTTTTAATAGCTGATTTTGTTTTTTAAATAAACATCTAATTGTTCAATTGCCACATACATAGAATAATGTGAGGATCATGAAGGTAATGTGGGATATTTTTAAATAATGACTTTGAATTTACTTAATTTTCTAGAAAAATCATCCAAATATATGTCAATAGATAGTTTCAGGCGTACAGAGAAATCCAAGTAAATTTGCATATTTAATTTTCAATGCTTTCCCTATAAAAATGCAATATTAGTTAATATTCTTAACTAAAGGTTGAGAAGTTACTTATTTCTGTTACCAAACTTGTGTTGATTTTTTTGTTTTGGTTTTGTATTTTTTTGGTTCTCTGAGACTATAATTAAGAAGGAATTATTTGTAAGCATTTCCATTTAAATTTCAATTATTCTTTCTCTTTGATCTGTTTTTTAAAGTAACAAAAACAATTTTAAACGTAAAAATATACTATATTTAAAAAGTTTAACTTAATAGAAATAAAGAGCCAGCCATAAAATATATAATACAAATTTCAAGAATTTTGTATACCCCCTCTCCCCCCTATACTGCATCCATAACGTATGTGCACTCCTAAATAATTTCATAGCTCTTCCAACAATGCCCCCCCCCCCCTTGTAAGGACTAGAGGTGAAAATAAATTATAGCATAGAAAAAACAATTTGTAATCATTTTATTTATGTTGTATATTAGAATTTATGATGATTAAAGTCAGAATTAGTTGGCAATGCTCATTGCACCTTACAATAGGATTTAGGATAAGCTGTGAGAGAAGGAAGGACGTATAGGTGAGAATTTTTTTTCATCACAAGCACACACTGTCATGGATGACATGGAGGACCAAGGGTGAGTGTGCATTGTGCCAATTTAAATTGATTCTAGATTATACTACACATCAGTTCTCAATGCTTTCTTCATAATCTTACAGATTCAATAAAAAATCAATGAAAAAATATTTCCTTTAATAAAAATTTACATCTAATAACTTTAATTTACTTATGTTTTTGAATCAAATTAATGAGTTAATATTCTAATGTTTTAGTATAAGACTAACAAGCCCTCGGTGACTCGTTGGTTAGCATGCTCTCATTCCAGAGTGCAAACCCGGGGTTGATTCCCGGACAGGATAAAATTATAACAGTTCACTTTCTTCACAAATGTCCCAGTATCTATTGCTGCGTGACAATGAGAAAGATCACCCTAAGGTTAAGAAGACCAATACACACAAGGGAGGGGTGTCTTCATCCGAACCAAATGAAACACTTAACCCATGGCTGTGAGGATGGGCCACCGCTGGTCAGCCAAGGCCCATATCAGGCAGTCGAGTAAAAGGTTAGGACAGTATAAGACTAACCTAAGGAATTATTTCAGCAAATGTTGAAAACTCTAAAAAAATAAATATCAATGTAACACAACAACTAACTAATACTCCCTACCCCTATGTAATACTGACTCAAACCCTCAACCCCTTCTTTATCATTATATAATTTATGGACACCCCCTGTGCAAATTTTCTCCACAAAATAAAGAAGAAAATTAAATTTAAAATATAGGCAGTAAGTTGGCATTGAAGAAATATTAATAACTACAGATATTTTTAGTATAATTAGTATTTTGTGAGAGTATTCTCAAAATACGAGTTTGCAGTTTTCTAAGAAATACTTACAATATTTTTCAGAAAAAGATTTGATGATGATAGAAACAGTATTCAAATTATGTGCTAGAATGATTTTATTTATTGACATTATTGTTTCAGTGTAAAATGATCAATGGGAAAATAAATTTACAACACAAAATAGTATATGTCTTGCAATATTGCTTAATACTTTGATTCTTGGTACCTTACAATTATTTCATACACATAAATTATTTGTGAAAAATCAATAAAGAAAAGAAAAAATATGATTTTTCTTACTAGAATACTGTAATTACCAAGTCACCATATGATCTTATTGATATTTTTCTTTTTTCCATTTTTTCTTTGACAAATTATTATTATTCCGTTTTGAATCGAGCGCACTTTTTCATGTGTAAAATTATTCGAATTGTAGTGTTGGCTAAATGTAAAAATTTATTTTGTGCTGTTGGCTGCGCTGGACAGAAGCAATATGGTAGAGCAGTGGGATATTGTGACATAGGATTCTGGAGACAGTCGCGATCTGAGAGCAGTGAAAGTGGTTACTGAAATAGGTTACCGTTCTGGATTGTACGTGTTTTAGTGCAGTGAATGTGATATGTGTTCGTAATGTTGCGCAGTGAATAATGGTGCTAGCTTCACAACTGTTTACACGCAGGATATGACATTTGCAGTGAGGTGAGTTTCTATTTCTAATCATCTGTTAGTAGAATTATGATTTCAGTTTTTTATCTCTCTTTCACTTCACAATGATACCATACTATGTTAAGGAACATGTTGGAAGTGGTGCCAAGGTACACATTAAAATTACTGTGATTATCTTAATTGTGTGAGATAGAGGGACCCATCTTGCCCATGTGGATATTTGCATATTGGCAAGACAGCCCCGAGCATTGAAAACATATGTATAGTAAATCATTATTGTTTTGTTTTGGCGAGCTATCATTGACACTTGATGTGTCAGACACATGTCGATAGCATGACAAGACGAGTGAGACACTCCAAATGGAAATAATGCTCGCTAAAGAAAACAGAAAAAAAATTCAACGTCAGATGATTGTTAAGTTTTGTTTTTAATTAAATAGCGCTGTTATAAAATAGAATAATCGTTTTCCAGAGTTTTAGTTGAGTGTCACAAGGATGTGAGTAGGCGTACTGAAGATCACCTTAAAAAAAAGTACTTTTTTTAAGGTGATCTTAGTAACAAGTTGTATTAAAAATGGAAGATCAATCTTACACAAATTAAAATTGAAAGTGGTAGGCTGATGGTGCTTTTTCGTGTGCAGACTCACAAAAATATGCTTGGTTACTGACAAACATTCCTGCTATTAAATATTATATTTATTATTTTGTTTGCATGTGCGTAATGCTTCAGTCGGTGCAGTTAAGAAATTTCGTTATTTGTTGTGACGATGTTTTAAACTTGGGTTTCCTGTGCAAAGATTTATCGGTTGGCTCCAGATGAATTGAGTAAATTGTTCATTGATGCTAAAATTGGCGGTGTTTCAGTTTTTAATTTCTAAAACGAAACTGACATTTGTGACACAAGTACAAATTGAACATCAGATGTGACAAATATGTCCTGCATGTTGGTCAGTCAACATAAAATATTGAAGATATTGGAGAATAACAGATGTCAGTTAATCTACAAAACTGTTTTGTTTACACGAATATATAGGGATGTTTAAAAATGAAAACATCGGGAGGAAGAAGGCGTTTTGTTGTGTTTCTAAAATTGACGTGTACCTCCCGGATCGCTACAGCTCTTGGAGGCCTGGTCCATCCTTGCCGCTAAGAGCAAGAAGAGGGTAAGGTTTCACGGTAAATTTGTCGTTTGAGATCACGAAGAGATGTCTAGAATATGAATGTAATTGTTGATATGCTGATCACGTTAGGCATTGATCTGCGAGAAGGAATTTGGAAAATTTAAATTCTGTGGATATTTCTACGACGGTTAAATTGTTCAATATTAGCCAAAATATTAAAGAATAGAAGACTAGTGTTGAATGCAGTTTGTTTTAATTATGAACTAAATCCTAGGGAAATGAAGTACATGAAACGTATGACATTAAAAAAACCCTGGTATTATAGTTCTAAATGGAGAAAAACTTCTGTCATGATTACAATAATGGCTGTATTTATGAGCGGTTTACACATCCTTTAACGTTTCGTAAACTCCAGTTACCTTTGAACTACTATTCCGTTCACTTCGGTACTATTTCTCTTCTGTCCCCATTGTATTTGATTTACACCTTTTTATTCGAAATTATCTTACGTTTGAGAAAGGGGGTTGAGGTCATGGAAACTAAAATATATAAAGATATCTGATACACGTAGACTTCGAAGACTGTCAATAAATGAAGTTTTTAACAAAAAATTTAGTGAGCGCTGGCATAAAATTAATCTTCCAGAAAATTTCTTCATTCATCGATGTATACGATTCTGTTAAAGTTCGAGGTATGATTACTTTGCTAATTGGCCTATAACACATTTTTTAAAACAAAACATTACCAGTTTAATTGACTTAATTCCGATTGTTTTTACGATTCATTGATATAACTCTTCGATAACTCCCACAAGAACACTTCATTATCGGTTCATTGAACAGTTTGTCGGCGTCGACTTATCTCCGTTGGATTATAATGTCAAACAATCACTAGGAGAGATATCATTATAAGCCATTCATTGATTACAGTTTGTTTAGTTAAAGGAAATGAAGTTATTTCAACTCTAAATGATCTGCGCATTTGAAGTGGTAGAGGTTTGATATCTTAATGTCAAGCTGAAAATTTAATTGGGAATGAATCACAGATTACTAAATGTAATTTTGGAATATTATTAGAATGTAGTGTGTGTCGGAGGTGGTTTGCCTTTGCATCTCTGTGTACGCCTTGCTCTGATGAGTGTCTTTGCCATTTCTGACATGGCGAGGCAGGAGGCTTAGGCCTTTATGCCCATCCCTGTCCTGGGCAGGTGATCTCCGTGGTGGATTTACCAGTGCTTCCCTCTGTGTACGCCTTGCTTTGATGACTGTCATTGTCATTTCTGACATGGCGAGGCAGAAGGCTTAAGCCTTTATACCCTCCCTGTCCTGGGCTGGTGAACTCAGAGGTGGTTTACCAATGCCTCCCTCTGTATACGCCTTGCTCTGATGAGTGTCATTGCCATTTCTGACATGGCGAGGTAGGAGGCTTGCGCCTTTATTCCCTCCCCTGTCCTGGGCAGGTAATCTCAGTGGTAGTTTACCATTGCCTCCCTCTGTATACGCCTTGCTCTGATGAGTGTCTTTGCCATTTCTGACATGGCGAGGGAGGAGGTTTGGGCTTCCTTTTTCCCCCATGTCGTGGGTAGGTGATACCAGAGTCTTCGTGTGGTACACAAATGAATGAACCGTAGCATTTACCCTTCCGGGTTTGGACGTCTTGCTCTCCAGCTCCGCCGCCTCCGCCTGTATGCATCTTCCCCAGTGAAAGGAGTCCGAAGAGCTGGGTTAGGGACATACCAAGTTGAACTACCCGAAGAGGTGGCTCAGGGCGGCAACTGATGTTACAGCTACACCTCTGATCGTGAGGTCCTGGAATTCGAGTCCAGACAACCGCAGGCGTACGTACAATACCCACTACACACAAACCCGCGCCCGCTACACACATCATTCATATCACGAGAAAGATGCGCAATAGGACAAGTTCGCTTTACAGTAGGGAGTTTGGTTTCTTACAGCGCATTGAAGACTTGGCACGAGTAAATTGTGTATTCGGTAAACGTCACAAGAGGGAGACGGCGATACTATATGCAGTCTCAAAAACATCGACTCCCTTGCTTTTCGTCTGGCAGATTCGGTACAAAAAATTTCATTCGCGATTGACCGGGAATTATTCGTCATTCTTACAGCTGTAACCGTTTTTTTAGCTGGCGATTTTCTGCATTAACTGACATATTCTCGAATTGGCCCTTGTTCTCGAGTAGTTCATGTCATATATGCACACTTTCTACATATAAAATGTTATCAAAATTTTGCCGCCTGCTGAAAACATTTACGTCTTCTCTTGATCCATCGATTGCTTACCTTCGCCCGAACGTTGCTTCATACTCTGGAGAGGACTATTATTCTCGGAATAAGGTGACGCGCTAAAATCTTCACCATACAAACAATCACGAACATGCAGCAGGGAAAAATCAACAGTCAACGGGTTTGGCCCTGTGACATTTTTGCCGGGATGATGCCACAGACGGTCGTAATAGGCGGGACAGGTGAAATGGAACGGGCTAGACAAGGGGGCGGCAAAGCCATCTCAATCGGCCCGAAGGGCTGCAGTATTGATCTACTGAAATATACCTACTGTATAGATCTACTGAAAAATACACAATCGTGGATGTTTTTACATTTTATGTAGCCTACAACGGTGCGATTTATAAAAAAAGATCAGTTGAATACTGGAACAGATAATTCTAACGCAGTTTCCTCGTATAAGTGTTTTCTGTAAGGATGCAATAGCATCTACAAGCCTATGTTACATTATTGAGTCTGAATCCTAAGCTCATGACGACTTGGTACTAATAAAATTTGGTAAATTTAATTTGGTGTATTTTTAATTTGGTAAAGAAAAGGTAAGTTGGAAATATGTCCAACTCGTGAGATCTAGTGGTGTTTGAGAACGTGGCCCGCTGTTACAAAAAGGTTGCCGACCCCTGGTCTAGACTATTACGCTAATACATATCCCAAGAGTGTATGGGTTTCGTAAGATTTCAATTCGTTTAAAACACACGTTTCCAGTGATATTGGATGCGTCCCAATGCTCTAGAAAGAAATAATATCAGAGTGCTCCCTACAGTCGATCTTCTTTAAGAGAGACCCAAGAAAGGCACAGTAAAACTACATTTCTTTAGGTTTAATCCTGTTGAACGTATTTATTGTTTCTCACTCGTTTCGGGAATGAGAATCGTAGTGTAGAAAATAATTGTATTTAAAAAAACTCGTGTTGTTAATAATAATTACTGAATCATTCCAATAGCCGGGGATGAAACGAAGTGGTAGATAGTCGAGGAATTGCAAACACTTTCTAAATAACTCCAATAAATCAGTATAATGCTGTAATGAAAAATATAGTTATTTTTTTGTAGGAATGGGTAAATATTTCATTGCAGTCTTCCTGTTGTTGAAGACAAGATTTCCATTGCGTCAGGTCTGCTTGTTGAAATCTTTAGCACATGCGACTTCAAAAGATTATAAGTTGGAATGTTGTTTTCGAAGTAAGCACGTCTATGTTACGTATACACTCCATGCTTACAATAGCATATGTTCTGAAGATTTTCGAAAATGTTTTGTTCCTTCTTTGGTTTTTGGTGTCTCAACTGTTGCTTCAATGTTCTCCAAACCAACCTTAATCCATCTGGGCTCACCAATGCTTATTACGGAGCCGTTTTGGGAAGAAATGATCTAAGAAAGAAACTGTAAGTTATTATTTTTCGCCACATTGATATCAGCTGCGTTCAGCTACGGATTTTGATCTCGGTGGTATTAGGATATTTAATGCAATTATCGTTATCCAACATGCTGCCCTGATGACCATGTTACTGTGATGAATTCGCATGACTGAATTTTAAGGGGGGTTTGTGGAAGGGAAGGACGTAATTCTTCAACCATTGCGTGAATGATCTGTATCCAGTGCCGTTTTAGGAAATATACACGAGCAATGAAGAAGAATAAGTGTTTTTTTAACGCTTGGAACGGGTAAACGACCTTCGAGAAGCTTTGCGCAGGGTTACGCTGTGTACTTACAATTCCGCCAAGTCCCGGAGGGCTCCTTCACCATTGACAACAATATTTTATTTTACGTTTTACAATAATGTATAGAATTATTACGTATTTATAATTCTTAGGTCAATATCCCGCTGTAGGATTACGAGGTTTACATCGATGAATAAGGTATCAGAGGATGTTTATAGAGTTGAATGATAGCGAACTGACTTCACGTTAAAACGCATACGTGGCTCAGCGCACCAACTGATTCAGTGCCTCTGACTGAGAGGTCCATTAGGTTCGAGTCCTGACAATGACAGCATATTCGACACAAGCTGGTTAGGTTGGTCGACTTCTGTCGCTGTCTGGATGCGAAATCTAGCGGCTGGTTACCCCAGTTGGTATTTTTCCGTGGTTTGACCGATCAACACCAGGTGAAGGTCGGAGCAGTACCCTAGCAAACGGGCCACGAACCGTGCGCGATCTTTCCTTCCCCGTCTTTGCTTTATCCTCGCTTCTCAAGAACATACACGCACTGCACTACCACACGTGTGTGTGTGTGTAGTTAAGAGCGTGTCCCGGCCGAGGCGGTGCTCGTGGGAGATACCTGGTCGAGAAAACCCCCCGCAAGCCACATGAAGCACGGTGCCGGATCTCGCCATCCAGCTGGGAAGATCGCTACACCCCTCCCCCGAAACAAAACATGTACTACACTTACGGGAATGATGACCGTAACCGTTGGCGCGCGCGGAAGCATTAATGAATCAATTAAACACACTGTATTGTTCAATAATTAAGTGAAAATGAAGATGATATGTTGTTCTCATAGTCGTCGCTTAGGGAACGCTCTAGCACGGCCCGAGCTCTCAAATACACTATGTGATCTAAAGTTTCCGGACATGACCAAAATGATGTTAAGGTGTGGTCGTGTTTTTCATGGAGGGGGCTTGCACCCCTTGTTCTGGATGGCACTCTCATGGCACAGGTCTGCGTTGATGTTTTAAACACCTTGCTTCCCACTATTGAAGAGCAATTGGGGGATAGCGATTGCATCTTTCAACACGATACGGTTGAAC